TATATATATATATATATATACATGCCTATATATATTTCAATTATAGGTTTCAATTATCGATCATCTTAATTGTATTTTTCAGAATAATGGAAATGCAACCGACGTCGATCGAAAAGCGGCATGCTCGCCGTTTTCCTTACAATAGCACAATCAGGATGAAGCAGAGTGAAGAAGAGTTTTCATGTCACTTAACATGGAAGGAATTAAAACACATTGAGATCAACAACTTTAAAACCAAGATTCAATTATTATCAGAGAGAAACGTTAGCTTTGATCAGCTTCCAACATATTATTTGAGTATAAAAAACCTGTTGGCATTCGTTCTTTACAATGCGGGGCAGACAGATGACAGTATTAGAGTTTTAGAAGAAGTCCTGAGACATGATCCTGGAAACTACAATGCAATTTCTAATTTGGCGGTAATATATTTCCGGCAATCGAAAGTTAACAAATACAAAGAATACAGAGATGCATTGAAGAGAATAATGCAAATTAATAACACTAACTCAAAGATTAGAGCAATGGTCGATAAAGCACATGCAATTCGACATTTTGAGCAGGATGAACGGAACTTCACATACATGGACATATTGGTCAGGGTTGGGGAATTGGCAGAGAGTACCAGCACACCAGAAAGGGCTGAATGGTTTTTTGACTACGCATTGGCGTTGTTCAGGAAAGACGCTCAACTAACGTCAACCGGCGCTAAATCAAGTGAAACGCACAAGTGCTTTAAGAATGCTGTTTCTTACTTTAACAAAGTCATTCATGTCCCAAATGGATCGCTAACATACAAGGCTCTGTCTTGGATATTTATCAGCATACTACTGCGTCACGAGAAGGGACGAGCTCTGACAGATATTTTGGCAGACGACGATGACATGCGATACATGAGTGCATGTGACTGCCTCGAACAAGCGTTGAAAGTTAATCCGTTCGATAGAGTAGTTCAGCGCCGAGCTGGATCTGAACATATTCGAATGAAGAGATACAGTGAAGCCCTTTGTCTTCTTGACGATTCTTTGAAACAAGAGGAATCTTGGTTTGCCTATCGTTATCGCGGATTATTGAGGTTAGAGATGTATGAAGACAATGAATATGCCCCGCAATATGTAAATAAGAAAGAACTTCTTCTGGCGGCAAAGAGTGATTTTGAATGTGCTATAATACTGAAAGAGGTACATGCAGATCACTCGGACTTAGGCTACATACATTATCTGCTTGGTGACTACAACACCGCAATAAATCATTTTGTAGCTGCCGTGAGCTGTACGCAAAATGATAACTTCGACCCGTCCATCACACACTACCGATGGGCTGCATGTCTTCGTGCGATTGGTGAACCCGAAGGCGCATTGCAACAACTTCAGTTGCAGAAGCAAACGCGTGATCAATTGAATCGCAAAAATTTGACGCTGGAAACGGCATTTTTATCTTCAGACCACGAGCAATGTAATGGTGTAGATTGCAATATTTCACAGTTTAAATACTGCCAAAATTATGTTCCCGGTTACGTCAACATCCTTTCCGATATATCACTTCCTTCACCACCAGTTTCTTGCCAAAACAAAGCAATTAACAAAAAGTATAAATATGACTTCTATGTCAGTTTTTGTCATGCGGATTATAAATGGAGTTTGGAACTCATCAGAAAACTAGAAAAAGAGTTGAATTTCCGAGGTTGCGTACGTCATCGAGATTATGTGGCTGGAGATTATATGGCACATGACATTTCCGATGCCATTCACAATTCAAACAGGATCATTATGGTCGTCACTCCAGATGCAGTGTCTGACAAGTGGTGGAAATATGAGCTGAAGAAAGCAGTCGGAGAGAGCGTTACAAGAGGTTGCCTTGTACCGATCGTTCTGCGACAGTCACCCATACCAAAAGAGATTGGACACCTTACCAGCATTCGGTTATTCAAAAGCCAGTTTTTGAGAGAAGATTGGTCTAGGCTAGAAAAATTCCTGAAATCATAAAATGTTCAAATGTAGTCATAAATACACTTAATAAAATCAAATGTATCCTAGTTACTGCACTGTTATCGGCAACTGCTCTATTTTATAAGAACAGATATTAGTTTATCAATAGTTGCGGCACCAGAGTGGGTCATAATTCCCTTCCACATCCCCATCGGACAATCAGGGATCGTCTGTCGTGAGAAAAAAAACATGAAGTCGTCGACGTAAGAATATTCATTTGGCAATCTAACCAAAGCTATTACAGTTCCTAAAATTGTGATCTAAAGCACATTTTCACAATCCTAAAACCATAAAACGTCTCTTCCTTCACCCCACCAGGTGTTTTACTCCGGGACCCTGGCTGGAGGCTGTCGGCAGCTCTTTGTTTAAACCCCCTTGTTGAACTTCTTTTCAGAAACCGCACTGAAAATAAAAAATCTCCTCGTCATCCCAAATCCCAAAAAAAACATACGGCTTAGAATACGGCCTATGCTGCTTCTTTGCTGTGGAACAAATTGCCACTATCAAACAGTCTCCCACTACTGATTTATTTAAGTTAGAACTGAAATCTCATCTCTTTAGACCATTCCCCATTCGCATTGTCAATTTTTAAAATCCTTCTCTAGTTGTACTCTCTAATATATTATTAATTACAGTACATCACAATCATATTAATAAATTTATCGGTGTTTCTAAATTAATTTTTTCAAGACAAATAAATCTGATTACAATTATTATTTTGTTATTATTCTGATATGTTGGCACAGTTTCTTAATCATTTTATTATTTTATTAATGATATTTTATATTATCTTTTTATTTTTTTGTTCAATTTTTTTTAATGGAGATAATAATAATGAAAATAATTAAATTTGAAGTCTGAGTGTGCAATTTCAGGCCATCTAGAGGTCCCATAATCACAAATTCTCAGCCCCAACCATGGTGGGACTGAGGGGTATACATCCTCCATCTGTGAATGTACTTCCCTGGGCCCCTCTATTTTGAATTCCTGGATCCGCCACTGTAATAGTACCTCCCACGCCAGCCAAGATCTCTCAGACTAAACTTAAAAGAAACGAAAAAGCTGTTGAATCACGCAAGAAGTATTAGGTTTACCTTTTTTAAAACCATTTAATTTGTATTAATTAATGTGCAATGTTTCAATGTACACATGTATCGGTATCTTTAAAAGTAGGCCAAGTAGGGTCAATTATCGCAGTACATCTACCTCTACCTTTTTGTATTACTGTGCATAGTATTTATATTTTCATTGATTTTGTATAAATTTGAATGTGAGACAAAATATATATTTACAATAAAGTATCTTAATATTATTTTATCATTTTCGGTATTTGTTGTCCAGTTTTTGCCTTTGTAAATGTGGATAGTATATACACACCACAATCATTAGTATCATTATACTATTGTACAGTGTTATCATTTCAACTATTATCGTCATTGTCTCCATTATCATACCATCTTTGCCTCAGATATAATCATTACAAGAAAAAAAGAACAATGAAAATATTTGTATGCACCGTCTTAAGCCCTCCTGACGACCAAATTGTATTTGGCAAGAACATGTGACATGCCTAAATATGGTCATAACATCACATCATGATTATATAATATAATTATATATATATATATTTGAATATATATATTATACCGTATATATGTATAATATATATTTTAAGATATAAATGTCCTTTATACGT